TACCAAAAAGCTATGTCACTTATGTGAGACTTTACCAGGTCTTCTCAGCATTCTGGTTTTGAAGTTGTTTAAACGACCCGAGAATTACACGGCGGCTATGAAATTATTGAAGGATAGATACGAGCACAAGCATGTTATCCGAGCCCTCCTGCACTGCGACCTCCAAACCATCTCCCCGCAAGAACGATTTGCCTCAGTTATGATGCACTTCAGAATCAGTTCTTTGCCAACTACCAGCTCTGGAGAACGATACAAATCATCTCAATATCGTAGCAGCAGTTAAGGCAAAGTTGTCTTTTGGAACCTTACAAAAAGTATGCAGAGCAAAGCGACAAAACCCGCAGTGGTTGGTACCTGACCTCCGCTAATTCATCAAGAAAACCATTGCGGACAGACTCCAAGCACGAGCCGTTGCCACCTCGGTCACTAGAAATAAGGCTTCATTCGGAACACGCAATTCAATAGTGACAACCGCTAAACCGCCACAACAGAAGACGACAAAACCTCCTTCAAAACAAGTTGCGACTACTAACTGTGCATCTTATAAGAGTCGTCACTACAACGATCAGTGTCCGGTATATAATTCTACTGATAAACGGCAAGCACGTGCCACTCAAGAACGAATTTGCCGTCATTGCCTGCGATTGGGCCACATCATCGAAAAATGTGAATCTCGACTTAAACTGTGCTTTCACTGCAAAAGCAATCATCCCGCAGCATTATGCCATAAGAAGAGCACTACGACTCCGACAACATCAATAACAAAAATGTGTATGCAAAGTTTGCCCGCAAACAGCGATAGCGACCTGGGCGAAAGAGAACTCGCAAATACAACGAAAACGTGCTTCAACTCAATGCCACCCATCACTCTGAAGCCACAAATTTTTCCTATGTGTCGCAAAACAAGGATGTACAATCTGCAAAATCTTTATATGAATCAAGATGCACTTCTATTTTTTGACTCGAATAGTCGAAAGTCGTAAATAAATTGAACGCTGGCGACGGCACTGAACTTTCCTCAACCACATGAACGTAATTTATCAATTTCTACGTTTGTGCCTCTTAGACCAACAGTGGTTTCATCACGCAAGACGAATATTCTAATAAAAACC